GCACACATTAAAACTTCTAAAGTCTTCGAGTGAAGCCTATTTCTATGTGGACTCACAAATCTATCACTTGTACTAAACGCTGACTCAGATGCCACGGCAGATACTGGAATGGCTAATAAATCTCTAGCAACCTTGTAAAGTTGAATATTTTATTGAACTTGCTTTCCACCATGTCAATAAATCAAAACCATCCACCTTGGCAATATGGCTCGTCTAGAAAAATATCAAACTCTGTTTTTACATTATCAGCGGTAACAGAATGACTAAGAAATGTATCAAAACCAACCATGCGAGAATGTTTTCCAACAGTAATAGACGACTCTGATTGCGAAGATAATGAAGAGTGAGATGTATTTTCTGTTGAATGACGTGAGAAGATGGTTTGAATCTAATGGACACAGAACAACTCAGCGAGTGTGCTCACAAGATGGTAGACTACGTTGCTGATTACTACAATTTGAAGTTGAGGTACAAGAAGCAAAGCGCCGGCGAATCTGATTTGGTTCATTGGTTGAGTGGACGAGTGTTTTGTAAGTTGTGTTTCCAATTTTCAATTTCAACGTGTAGGGTTAGAGTTAGATTATTGAGTTAATGGTTTACTAGTAATGTTAATTGGGCCAGAATTTTGGGATGCCCAATTAATTTTGGGAAAGAATAATGGAAAGTTCAATTGCCAATTAATTTTTTTTAACGAGTAATCGATTCGGGGCGCGAAACCGTCACTTAATACCATACCTGTCCCATCTCGAACCGGGTCATTAAAATCAAAACCATAACCACCCCATTGTATCATTGGTTCGATTTTTTTTTGCCCCATTCGGTTCAGTTAACTGGGATTTTCGATTTTAATAATTCGAATGCCATCCCTAATTGAACCTAGAAATCGAGTTGGAAGATATTCATTTTTAGTAACTTTGGTGTAAATTAATTTAATAATGACAAGATAGTTAATAATGGAAATTTAGTTAATTAATTGAATTGATTTGAGGACTAAATAAGTTAATAGGCTAATTAAGGGTATTATTACTTAATTAGCAGAAATTGCACCCCACTAAATATCATCAGTCTAGAAATCAATATCCCCCATCTTATCACTCCCTTGTGTCTCGCCAAGATAAACCAGCCACCCCAAGTTACATAATTCTTCTTCACGCTCCTGGAATTCGAATCTTACTTCATGTGATAGATTTATTGCCCCGAATTTTTGTTCACATTAGATAAATGGTACAAATGTGGTCCTATATGTTAAGTATGAGATTAAATCACATGTTAATATGACTTTTCTATTCATTCTTGTCGTCCTTGTAAATTCTCTATCTCTATAGTGATTTTTACTTTTCGCAAATAGTTTGTAAGCATCTTGATGTAAGTTCATTATCATGAGGTGGTGGTATCAAAGAAACATAAATTAATTCTTGGAGCCTCTGAAATTTAATTCTTCCTTCACAAGTGTTTGATTATTGTCTATTAGTCGTTAAATTCTCTAGTGGTACTTAAGATTGGATTATATATTTAAGGCCTTGTATGGGAGGGATTAAAATTGAAAATATAGCCGTTATTGTTGACTTTTATTAGACGAGTGGGACCCAATAATAGTCATATTTTCAATTTTAATTGACTTTTAATCCCTCCCGAACGGGGCTTTAATCTAATATGACAATGATAAATAAGTAGAAGTCATTTTTAATCA